AGTCCTGGCAATGGCAATCGGCCCGCACCGCAAAGCGAGAACCAGACACCAGAGCAAGAAGAGGTCTCGAACCAAAACAGCGGGTCAAAAAGCGGCCCCATGAGGCTGGGCTAACACGACCTGGCTTGATACTGCGAGGCCGCCAAACTCTGTAACCTCCACCTCCAATTCCGCAGACACTCGCGTTCAAACACCTTTCTCACAGCATCCGCCAACCGTTATCCTAGGAAGAAAGGTAAAACCCGACAACTGTCTTTGGTATCATAGCGGGCCAAGGTCTGGGGCATGGCTATGTATGTTGAGTCATCTTCGATGTGCACGTCAAATGATTTGGTGCGATAAAGCTGCTCTGCAGATGTGCGCCCTTCTTTAGTTAACCAAGATGCATCAAAGAGAAGTTGCCGATCTGGGAACGGCGTACGGGGAACATCAGGCAAAGCCGGGTTGGCTGCGCGGAGCTCTTTCAACCGACTGCTAGTGAATTTGGCGAAGGTGTCAAACAAGGTTGGCAACGCGGTTCGTATGCCCATATAGTTTTTGAGCTTGTGTTTGTGCCACGATTCTTGTTTTTGAGTTCCTGATGCAGATCCAGGTTGCAAGCGATCGGCGCCACACCACCATTCAGCTGACCACAGAAAAGAATTGTCCCCGACCCAGTCCAGCACATTCCAACGCTGCCTAGCCGTCTCCGCCGGCACACACGAGAAATAGTACTGCTTCAAATTTCTGACGGCCGCAGCTTCTGTGGACAAGCTTTCGAACAAAAGATGCGTGACGGTATGGAACAGGAAAGCGGTTGGTAAACTGCGCATGGCGTGCACAGACTGCTCGATCAGTGCAAAGAGTGGTTTTCCTGCAGGTGACAGATGCCGCTTGGTCGTCGCGAAAATGCCACTCCTGTGCGCCAGTAGATGGCTATCTGCCTGCTCTCTTTGGCTTGCGGTTAGCTTCGGCCGGGTGCAAGCACCAATCAAATGAGCCCAGTCTGCAACTTTGTCTGCACAAGGAAAAGCATTCTTTGCAGACAAGTCCTCGCCAGGGTGCATGTCAGCATGATACTGGTGACAAGCTTGAGCTAGGTCCAGCCCTGTCCACTTTTCCGCGCAAAAACACGAAGCCTTGAAGAGACAGGAGTATGTGGGCTCACTTTCCTTGTTCGCCAAGGCGAACATGAGCGGGTCGAAGGTTGTGCTGAAAGCCCGGATGCCGGACGACTTGTCATAATGCTTCGATAAAACTCCAACAGTCAACAGAACCCACTGACGGTTGGTCAGCCGAAACGTCCCATCGCCACATAGCTTGATGTGGGTTTTGTTATCAAGTTTGTCCAAGGTCTCTTTCAGCAGCGCTGGATTGCAGAAGGCAACAACAGTGTATTCAGGATCATACGACGCAGCAGCAATTTTCAAGGCATCGCATGCTTCATCTAAATCCTCCGTCATGCCAACCTTTCGCGCCAGCTCACGCCAGTCAGACTCCACCCACTTATAGGGGCGCACCTCTTGGTTCTCACGATGGTTTTTGCTCCAAGACGCGATCCACTTGTCAGTAGGCCGAACACCGGCTTGATGCTTCTCAATGATTTTCACCAGATCTTGGGTGGTAACACTGGAATGCGAAGTCATGTGCTGTTTGAGCGCGTTTTCAGTTGTAGATGTTAGCGGGATCCACTTTTTCAGCTCATTTGGATCGCTATGTTCTGAAAGTGGCGTGTAAGCTCTTTCAATTGTGTTGCTGGCGACCACATACTTGGAGTAACCCCTCCATCCCTGCTTCGACTGGCATTTTGGACAAGAGTTGCACCACAGAAAGACCTTGAAGCCGTCCTTGCAATCATACCACTGAAAGCGGACACGTAAATGGAACCCAGGCAGGAGAACTGCAGCCCAATCCTTTTCATGTTTCAAGAATTCGTTTCTCCATGTTTCTCCCATCAAATCCAGACTCATGAGTGATGTTCCGGATACTGATAACAGGCAAATCCTACCGGCAACCTGTCGCAAAAAACATGTGTAGGTCAATGTACTTCCCACCTGTCAGGCCATATCAGCTGCAGCGCTTCATCCATCAGAAGCTTCACCCAAATCCGACAAAAATGCTCAAGCATCTTCAATGCGAAGCCCACCGGAGCAGATCAGCCGTTGAGGTTCCAAAACCCTTCTGTGGGGGAATCGAAGCCCTACCGTCACTAAATTGCCACCTGGTACATGGCCTGGAAAAAAGTCTTGTGCAGTCAGCAGATTTCCCACATAATCAAATTGAAATTCGACATTTTGTCCAGCAATTGCGGCAGCTACCCCCCAGACCCCCCCTAAATCCGCCCACACCGCTTTGGCGGTGAAGGCGTGCTTATTGGGGGGAAACAGCCACACTAAATGCTCAATCACATTTGTTAATATAGCAGTCGCTATATCAGCTTTAGCTGGGGGGGGGCCAAAAACGGTTTCGCACCGAGACCAGACCCCAAAAACGGTTTCGCACCGAGACCAGAATACGGTGGTGTTTCGACATTTTTCGAGGATTTTTGGGTGTCTGAGCGCAAGAGGGTATTGAAATGGAATTTTGGGTCATTTTGGTAGCTTTCCGGCAATGGAAAAACGGCCAAAAATGAAAAAAACATTGTACATAGCAAGATTTTGCAGGGTTTTTGGATGCCAGAGCATTGAAAACACTGCAAAAACAAGTGTTTTGGACTGACGTTATAGCAAAAAAACGTGTAAATTACCGTATGCTTGACTGGAAACATTACAAAAACACTGTCAAAAGCAATGTTTTGGAAGGATTTACTGCCTTTATGGCAAAACAAGATGAAGCCCACGAACCCGAATGCTCACACGTATGTGGAAGATAACGATGTTAAAGTATCGATTATGACAGGAGGTGAAAATGTTAATGCTCAAACCTATCGTAGAACAATGGAACAACGTCATTGCTCCGATTCTGTTTTCTCTCCGCGACAGCAGCACTGGTGTCGCAACGCAGTGGCGCGCGGCAAGCAGCGCCTTCCAAGACATGCAAGCCATGCGAGACGAACATATCACACATGAAACAAAAGGACAGGTTTTGCAGCTTCCCCCATAGACACGGCGAAGCCACGGGCAAACCAGAGACGCGAGACGAGACACGTGGGAGCACCAAAACGAGCATTTCGTACGAGACTTCCTCCAATTTTGACACTTTGCAGCTTCAAAATCGACGCGTATGTTAATGGTACAGATGTCAAAACACATGGCCATGCAGTCACGCACAATACCTTTCTGCAATAGTTTATTTGAACAGTCTTGTACATGTTTCCCTTGTTACCAGTCTGCAGTGTGGAGTGGAAAGTGTAGAGTGTGGAGTGTGGAGTGTGAAGTAAGGAGTGTGGAGTGTAAAGTGTGGAGTGGGGAGTGTAGAGTGTGTAAAGTGTAGAATGCGGAGTGTAAAGTGTAGAGTGTGGAGTATGGAGTGTAAAGTGTAGAGTGTGGAGTGTAGAGTGTGGAGTGTGGAGTGTAAAGTGTAGAGATGGAGTGTGGAGTGTAAAGTGTGGAGTGTAAAGTGTGGAGTGAGGAGAGTAAAGTGGAAAGCGTGGAGTGTAAAGTGTAAAGTGTGGAGTGTAAAGTGTAGAGTGTGGAGTGTAAAGTGTGGAGTGTAAAGTGTGGAGTGAGGAGTGTAAAGTGTGGAGTGTGGAGTGTAAAGTGTGGAGTGTGGAGTGAGGAGTGTGGAGTGTGAAGTGTGGAGTGTAAAGTGTGGAGTGTGGAGTCTGGAGTGTAAAGCGTGGAGTGTGGAGTGAGGAGTGTAGAGTGTGGAGTGTGGAGTGTAAAGTGTGAAGTGTAAAGTGTGGAGTGTGGAGCGTAAAGTGTAGAGTGTGGAGTCTGGAGTGGAAAGTGTAGAGTGTGGTGTGTAGAGTGTGGAGTGTGGAGTGTGGAGTGTAAAGTGAGGAGTGTAAAGTGTGGAGTGTGGAGGTGAGGAGTGTAAAGTATAAAGTGTGGAGTGTGGAGTGTACAGTAAAGTGTGGAGTGTGGAGTGCCGAGTGTGGAGTGGAAAGTGTAGAGTGTGGAGTGTGGAGCGTAAAGTGTGGAGTGCGAAATGTGGAGTGGAAAGTGTAGAGCGTGGTGTGTAGAGTGGAGTGTGGAGTGTAAAATGTAAAGTGTGGAGTGTAGAGTGTAAAGTGTAGAGTGTGGAGTGTGGAGTGTAGAGTGTAAAGTGTAGAGTGTAAAGTGTAGTGTGGGGAGTGTAGAGTGTAAAGTGACGATTGTAGAGTGTGGAGTGCGGAGTGTAAAGTGTGGAGTGTGGAGTGTAAAGTGTGGAATGTGGAGTGTGGAGTGGAAAGTGTGGAGTGTGAAGTGTGGAGTGTAAAGTAAGGAGTGTGCACTGTAAAGTGTGGAGTGTGGAGTGTAAAGTGTAGAGTGTGGAGTGTGGAGTGTAAAGTGTAGAGTGAGGAGGGAGGAGTGGAAAGTGTAGAGTGTAGTGTAAAGTGTGGAGTGTGGAGTGTAAAGTCTCAGGTGAGGAGTGAGGAGTGTAAAGTGCAAAGTGTAAAGCCTGGAGTGTAAAGTGTGGAGTCTAAAGTGTAGATTGTGGAGCGTGGAGTGTAAAGTGTAGAATGTGGAGTGCGGAGCTTCCCCCATAGACACGGCGACATCACAGGAAAACCAGAGACTCGAGAGGAGACACGTGGGTGCAAAAAAACAAGCATTTCGTGCGAGACGTCCTCCAATTTTGATATTTTCCACATGTTATCAAGCAGGTTGGAATGTCACAAAGTGCCACGCCTGCCACGCAAAACGACATGACAACCTGCTTGGACACATTCGAATAGGAGATGTTTTCCAGCTTCCCCCATAGACACGGCGACGCCACAGTGCGGACCACTGGTTAAAACTGATCCTACAGTTCCTGTGGCTCCCAACCAAACGCAAGAGACCCCTTTTTCTCTCACATGCCATTGGTTGGAGTTCCTGAGCCTAGAAGGTTCGGCGACCGTCAAATGGTCAAGGCAGTACGTTCAATTCTGCACTGATCTATTTTCTCTCTGCCTTGACTTCACTTTTCGGCTTGTATCCACATGACTTGGCCTTTGCTCCAATCATCTTAGAGCTTCTCTCTGTCACTTCTGACCAGCTTGTCTCACTCTCGGCTGGCGTGCTCATGAGCTCGCGAATCATGTCGGTGTCAGCATCGCACTCCTGGAGGAGAAATTCAAGGATCTGGTTCTTCCATGCTGGGTAGTTGTAAAGCTTCCTTGACGTCTCATGTGCCAACTCGGCAATCGCTGCTTTGAACTCTTCCTCATCAGGTGTGAACTTCGATTTGGCCTCTGGGAACATGTCGGCATAGGTCTTTTTCATCGGATCTTCATCGTCATCCACCTCTGTCTTGATCATATAGTTGGACTTGATCCCATAGTTCCGAAGATAGCCAAGCGCTTCACTCCATGTCTCTGACCCTTCTGGAAGGGGAAGCACTTGTCGGTGGTCTATGAACTGCCGGTAAACTCCCAAGACATCCTTGAGCTGCTGCTCAGCCTGGTCCAGATATGCTGCACCGGTGGTGACGGCAACCATCTGGGTCGACTTGGTGTAGCTCAGGTTGACCTTCATCTCGACACCTTTGAACATTTTGCCATTCATCTTGTTCAGTGGCATCTTGATTTTGCATGCCGTCTGATTCTGAATAACACATTCTAAGTACTCTTCGGAGTCCTTCACCCACGTGTTGGTAACGGCCTCGAAAAGAGCTCGGACTTCTCCTTCAGCAAGTCCTGCTGTGCTGACTTTCACCATGTTCTCACGGCACTCGGGCACGACGAAATTGACAAACGTCTCCTGGGGTTTCCTGAGAGCCTCAAAAGCCTTTCGGGCTGCTTCCTTTTGTTTTGGTGTTCTCTCCTGACGTTTACTGCGTTGCTCTGCTGCAGCATTCATCATAAGACCTTCTTCACTCAATTGATATTGAGACACATGCATTGCCGCTCTCAAAATATCCATCGCATCAGGGTTTTCTTTAGTCAGGGCGTCCGCAAGTTGAAGCCAAGTGGGGGCCCATCTAATTGTTCCACTGATTCGATTTAAGGTCTCTCTGATGATCACTAAGTCAATGGCCACTCGTTTGTCAGATACTGACCCTTGGAAGGAAAAACTTTGCAGGTGGTCAAAAATGGACTTACAATCCACAATAGCCTGCGCCTGAAATTTTGCAACATCCTGATGCCTATTCGCCAAATTGAAGTTGTTGTTTCCCATCTCAGCCAAATGGCATGCTATCCATTCCAAATGTCCAAGTCCGTCCAAAAGCACTTGCGATTCCCCCGCAAATGTTGATCCAACAACCCGCTTCAAACGATAGGATTTCCATGTCGCTGCTCCCCATGGTGCCACCTCACCTCTTCTCAAGTTTTCGTTGGACACACCAACAATATAACCAGCTTGGGTCCCGTTTTTGCTAGCGTTACCAAAAGCAGCATCACTGTGTAAACACAAATGCAGCTCTTCAAAAGGGATAGGCAAAATCTTCCATTCGAGGTTTTGATATTGTCTTGCACGTCTGGTCACATTTCCGACTGTTCTTGCCTGCTTCAGAGTTGGTTCTGGAAGCGATTGCTGAGATTGACTTACTTGGACCGCTAGATCAGGTCTTGTTTCCTTTGCTAACCACAGGGCTGATCCTAGCACAGACTTCAGAGACTTTCCTTCTTCCTTTGCAATAGGACCTTCACCCTTACCTCTCAACTTTGGTTTTGGCAGCTTGCTGGCGAACTCTGCTTGTGACACATGGATGACTCCTGTCTCGGCATCTTGTCGAAGATGGGACCCGCAAAAGTCTCCTTGACTTTTCCGAAAAGGAAAAGTACTCTTCAATAAAGCCAGCTTTTCTTCAAACAAAACACCTTTTCCCCCAATTAGGACATCGTCAACATGAACACCCATGACAGCCACTAACTGATCACCATCCCACAGTTGGAAGACACATGGATCCAGTCTCGACTGACGCCAACCCTGCTGCTTGACCGTGTCTCGATAGGTAAGAAACCAGCCTTGAGGGGAGTCGTTGAGACCATACAAAGGCTTGATCACCTCAAACAGTTCATGCTCTTCGTATCCTGGCATTGGAACATTTTTGGGGGCTCTCAAAAAGAGTCGTCGTTTCCTGTTGAAATTGTTAGCCTCAAGGAAAGCTCCTGTCACATCTCCCAGTTGGAGTGTAAATCTCTTGCTGGCTATTGTCTGGAGAACTGTATATCGACCATTGGTAGATATGGTAGGAGCCTGAGTTCGTCCTTCCCTAATCAAAGTGAAAAGATCAGGGTCTTTGTCTCCACGTGCTGTCCACCTTGCTTTGACAATACAATTTCCTGAGTCCTCAACTTTCTCGGTCAAAACTACACGGCTCTCCAGAATACGGTCCGGGCAGCATCGCTTGATCTCAGCCGTCTCGGCTGAACTCAAAGGTTTGAGGGCCTGCTTGTCCTGAATCACTGTTGTCAGTTCTTTCATCATTCCTTTAGCTATCTTTTCTTGTCCTTGTTCTGTCTTCCACTCAGAATCTCGTACATTGATTTCCTTCCTACCACCAGCTAGTAAAACTTCTCCATCAGCAACGGCCAAAACAAACCCGCCCTCATCGGAATCTAGCTCGGATAGAGCCACGCATTGATCAGCTGAATCTTGCACATGCCAAACATTGTGTGTTCGGCTCGGAGGGGCTGGCAATGACGGCGGTAGCTGTCGTCCACCAAACTGCTGAGATTCTGTTTTACTCCTTTTGGGTTCTGGAAGTCTTTGAGATGGTTGAGGATGTCCATCTAGTCTATTTGCTCTTTCTTCAGAAACACGAACCAGTTCTCGTTCTTGGGGTGACAGCTGCGCAATCTGCTCTTCTCGAGACTGTGAACTCGAAATTGACTGCGGTCCAGAACTTTTGATGGACTGCGGTCCGGAACTCGGCACTTGCTGAGGTTCACCGCCGGCTGGCTTGGAATCTGTATCCGGGGCATTCTTTGTCTTTTCCTGGGGTTTCGAAGGAGTAGACCCTGATGAAGATGAGGATGAGGAGGAACTCGAACTTGATGATGATGATTGTTCTCCTTCTTGAACTTCGGGAATAACCGGTGGAGTTTCCGTCAACAACTTTGTAGGGGGAATATCCTCTGTAGTAATATCCAGGAAATGTTTTTGTCATCTGTTTTCCCCGCCCACATCTGGATACAGATTCACTGCCGCTGCTCGCAAATCACGCACCAGGAACTTGTCTGCCTCACCTTCTTCAATGGTTCTAAAACGTAGTTGTTCCACTGAACATTTTATCATGGCCCCTGGCATTGACACCCAGTAGTGATTCCCATTTACACCAGCTACAATTCCGGGTCCCCGCCATCTGGCATGACTCATCTTTCCTGGTATTCCACGACCTCGACGCCAAACTGCTACTTCATCACCTGGCTTGAAACTTCGGTGAGGTCTCGGTCGTGAATTCAGTGCTGTCCGTGCTGCCTGCTGGTCCAACTCTTGCAACAGAGCCTTTCTTGCCTCAAGCCTTGCCTGTTGTGAAAACTTTGCAAGCTCATCCACAATGATGGTGCTGTTTGAAATAACATTTGGTTCAGACATTGGACACAACATATCATCACCCGGAAACTCCGGGTCTCGGCCAAGCACCAGCTGATAGGGGCTATGTCCGCCACGGCGCAACAGGCTATTCTTAGCCTCTGCGGTGCAGTCCACACATTCAAGCCACTCGTCATAGTTCTGTGGCTGCATGTGATCAATCACCTTGGACAACATGATTTCAAAATGTTTCCCATGTACTTCCACATCGGCAATTTGTTCATGTGCTTCTCCCGGTACATCCAAAACAGTAGTTCCATCTCTCTCCAAAGCATCTAAGAAATGTTGTCCCAAATTGCACCTGGACGCATCGAATTTCAGCCATTTTGGTCGGCCATATGGTCTGGTCCATGATTGCCGGTACAGTTTCCGAATGACTTCGGAAGATTCAGTTTCCCTAAAAGGAGTCATTTGTTGAAGTCCTGAAGCTCTGCAAACAACATTTAAAGCTTTGATGCGTTCTCCGGTTTTGAACCCTGGCAACCATTTGACATCCAAACCAACATATCTCAACGGGGCCACATCTTTTGGCACAGTTGAATTTCGGGTGATCTTTGGCTCTGCCCTAGCGTCACATGTTGGACACGAAAACTGCTTAACCATGTCCAGAACTTTGTCCTGTGCACCAGCATGTCGGAGGATTCTGACAAGATCACTGTTTGATGCATGTCCCAGATTGTTGTGCATCTTCTGAATGGCTTGATGTATCTTTCTCTTTGATTCCTTCAAGTTGGTGTCATCACTCTTCTGTTGTTCTTCAATAACTGCAAAACATAAATTACAACCTTCCTCCCGATGAAACCCAGCTAGAATTTTTCGAATCAAAGTCTTGGGATAAACCTGAGTCTGAACTGATCGCAACTGTCCTCCTGATGATCCTTCAACCGGCTGATGTTCATGTCCTCCTTGACAATGGAGAGGTGCCAGCTGAGTCGCAATTCCCAGAGAGGAAGTCATAAATCGCCACTCCTTGCCGTATAGCCTGCGAGACTCCGGGCATCGCAAATGCAGGGAGCAAAGGGAGACTTCAAGGATGGCCGGGTTGGTCTCCTTGACAAAATTCTCCATAGCCGGGATACTCCATGTGCCAGCTCTCTTTGAGCTTTCAAAGAGGTAGTGTTTCCCAGCTGCCAACTGCTTCCGCGCCATCTTGACGCACCAACGAATCATAGACTTGGCTTGCAGCACCTCTTGCTCATGTCCTTGTGGATCTCTTCGTCGATGATCAGGAGTCAGATTCTGCAACGGACTTAGAGGTCCGCAAGGGGGGCACATCAGCAGCAGGTCTGGTTGGGCTTGGTCGATCAGAAGCTCTGCAGCACGTCGGTGGTCATCCCGACTCCAATCCCATCCATTTGAGAGATCCAGAGTGCCAACGCTCTGGTACCCCATGGCCTGAGCTTGTTCTGCAAAACGTCCAGGACAAAAGATTTCCATGATTTTGGGCTGTCGGTCTTCTCCATGTACTCGTAGGGCTTCCTGAATGTCGCGCATCAGCATCTTGCGCTGTTGAGCCTTCATGACTCCCCAATTCCCTTCAAACATGTCTTCATTGGTGTCCATGACTACCTCTGCGTCGTTCTTGTGGGTGTCGTCGGTGGTCACCATGTTCACGAAGGTAATGTCCGTAAGGTCGATCTCCTCAGACTTGAAGGGCGCAGCTCGTTGGGGATCAAAATCACAAAGATTAATCTGGTACGAGCCGTTCTTTGGTTCATGGAGTGGTGCTTGGAGTCCAGCCTTGGTGAGGTGCATCGTGTTTGTCACCAAATCAATGTGAGCTCCCAATGCCTTGAGACATCGCTTGGAAATCAACAGTGGTACTTGTCCCGGCACCACGCTCACTCTCATCCGGAGCTGTCTGCCCTGGATGAAAATTGGTATCTCCACTCTTCCAATCGCCTCATCCACGCTGCCGTTTCCATAGCGGAAAACCTGCTTCTGGTTTGCCAGGTCAATGATCTTGATGTTCTTGGTTGCCAAAAGGTCTCGATGTCTTTGAAGTGTGTCAGCTCCAATGAGTCCACGTCCACATCCCGTGTCAACCACTCCAAAGCCAGGAGGATGAGTGAGACATGGTTGTCGTCCAGAGAATTGCACATCGTGCTCCTCACCTGATGAAGAGTCATCTCCGTCAGCTCGATGATCTCGTGGTCCTTCGGGGTCGTTCAGGTTTGCATTTGGTTCCTGGGCCTTGAGCTGAACTTCTCTGAAAGCATCGCCGTAAGCCGCAATCGTCTCCTCGGTGGACGTGTCTTCTTGAAGGTCTACCCAATCTCCTGGGTCTGATCTCACCTGAAAAGCTTGTCCTCCATGATATTGTCGCATCAAATCCATCAACACCGCCGCCACACCGTCAATCTCCTCTTCCGTCTCCTCCTGCTCCGGTGACTCATAGATCACTGCCTTGTCCTTGTAGAAGATTGTCTCTCCGGTCCATTCATATCCGAGATCTCGGTGAGATTCTCCAGAATGTTTCCAATTGGCGGTGAAGACCTCGGTTGCTGATTTCCCGTCCTGACTGGGCTTCACCTTCGTCAATCTCGCGGTGCTCAGCTCCTCCACTGAGACAGGACATTGTGTCCTCATGGGTGTGAACAGGTTCCGTCGTGGGAGCACATGCACTCTGGTCACCTGCTCATTCTCAGTCTTCCAGAAATCCTTGCGTCGATCCGCCCACTCGTTCACCATGACGTCAATCTCGTGCTCGGTGACCTGGTCCGTCTCGTCATGCTCAATCATGTCGTACTCGTCGACGATGGACTGTGTCTTTGAATCGCTGGAAGAAGAAACCATATTCACAAAATTCACCTTCACGCCACTCTTTCCAGGGGAACTTGTAGAGCTGGAGCTGCCTCTCTTGGGACAATTTTTGCTGAAATGTCCCACTGCCTTGCACTTGAAACATCGTACACGAGCCTCCAGCTTCTTCACATCCTGGCGAGTTGGAAAACCTCGACTCAGCTTCTCCTTGCTGATCTTGGCTCTTGTCTCCTTCCATGACAAGAGTACCTCGATGGCGTCCTGTTCATCTAAGGGCTCATTCTCCTCATCAGCCTCTTCCGTCGCCAATGCATCGTGCTCTTCGCCACTCTGGTTCTCCTCCACTTCGGCCACTGCATTCACCGACGACCTGGACTGATGGAGTCCCTCTGGGTACGTTGTTCTCAGGGCAGCCATGATGTCTTGCTCCTCGTATGATCTTCGGGCAGCAGCCAAAACGACTGCCTTCCGTTCTGGCGTCAGCTTCGCAAACCTCAGCACCATGTAGCCCTTGGCCACGGAAGGAAATCTGATCCCTTCTGCTTCCGCTGCTGAGAAAGCTGATCTCACTTTGCCTGTAAATGCTGCCGTGCTCTCATTTCTGTCCACCTTCAAATCAAAAATTTGATCTAAAACTTCTCCCAAACGGTCATGTGATGCCTCCTCCGGGTACCTCTCATCCAGCACCTGAAAGATCACATCTTGGCCTCCGGCAGTTTCGATGATGTCCATGTCGGTGGCATCAAAAGCTCGGAGTGCCGGACCGTCCAGTAGTGTGTACAGAACAGATCCAAAAGCATCTGCAGACATCCCTTTTGAGCCTTGGACCTTAAGATAGGCCCTAGCCCATCGCTTCCACTGCTTATACTGCTTCGGGGGATTGTCACCATCACCAGCAAAGCGTCTCACCTGAGACTCACCTTTGGTGCCAGATTCCATGGCAAAACCCTGCCCGTCCTAGGGCTACCGCTACCAGTGCGGACCACTGGTTAAAACTGATCCTACAGTTCCTGTGGCTCCCAACCAAACGCAAGAGACCCCTTTTTCTCTCACATGCCATTGGTTGGAGTTCCTGAGCCTAGAAGGTTCGGCGACCGTCAAATGGTCAAGGCAGTACGTTCAATTCTGCACACAGGAAAACCAGCGACTCGAGACAAGACACGTGGAGGCAGAAAAACCAGCATTTCGTACGAGACTTCCTCCAATTTTGACATTTTCGACACATTATCAAACAGGTTGGAATGTCACAAAGTGCCACGCCTGCCACGCAAAACGACATGACAACCTGCGTGGAAACATTCGAAAAGGAAAGGTTTTGCGGCTTCCCCCACAGACACGACGAAACGACAGGAAAACCAGAGACTCGAGACGAGACACGTGGGAGCACCAAAACGAGCATTTCGTACGAGACTTCCTCCAATTTTCACAATTGGCAACATAACAAAAGGACAGGTTTTGCAACTTCCCCCATAGACACGGCGAAGCCACCGGCAAACCAGAGACGTGAGACGAGACAAGTGGGAGCACCAAAACGAGCATTTCGTACGAGACTTCCTCCAATTTTGACACTTTGCAGCTTCAAAATCGACGTTTTCCTACGAGTTTTCCTTAGAACCTGAAAATTTGCAACCTCAAAATCGATGTTTCGTGCGAGGCTTCCGTCAATTTTCAGCACATGTCACAAAATGCCACGCCTGCCACGAAATTTGCACCTTGTCGCCACTTGACGAAGCCCTGCCAATGCGATTTACAAAAAACACGCAACACGACACGTCTAAAGTGCTGCGCCTGCCACGAAAAATGACGATGGACACGTCCAAAGTGCTGCGGCCACGAAAATTGCAACACATCTTCTGAAAACGTCACAAAAGTATTGCGCCTGCCACGCAAAACGACTTTCGACACGTTCCAGAACACGTCTGAATGTCACGAAGTGCCACGCCTGCCACGCGAAACGAAGCAACCAGACGTCTGAAACCTCCAAAAAGGACCACCTCTGCAAAACTTCCAATAGGCACGGCCATACGGGGATCGCGCGAACGGTTGCGGACGGTTGCGCTCGTGAACGCAACGTCGAGCGAACACACCCTCAACCCCCAGACCCCCAGAGTGAAACGGGAACCCTTGCTACGCATTCGGGAAAACGTGTAAATTACCGTCTGTTTGACTGGAAACATTGGAAAAACACTGTCAAAAACAATGTTTTGGAAGGATTTCTTATTCCCGAGAGCGTCTGAGCGCAGGGTTCTTGTAATAGTGGGGGTCTGTATCTCATCTTCTCATCTTCACACCTTCTCATCTTCACACCTTCTCATCTTCACACCTTCTCATCTTCACACCTTCTCATCTTCACACCTTCTCATCTTCACACCTTCTCATTTTCACATCTGCTCATCTTCACATCTTCTCTCACATCTGCTCGCACATCTGCTCATCTTCACATCTTCTCTCACATCTGCTCATCTTCACATCTGCTCATCTTCGCATCTTCTCTCACATCTGCTCATCGTCACATTTGCTCATCTTCATATCTTCTCTCACGTCTGCTCATCTTCACATCTGCTCATCTTCATATCTTCTCTCACATCTTCTCTCACATCTTCTCTCACATCTTCTCTCATCTGCTCATCTTCATATCTTCTCTCACATCTTCTCTCACATCTGCTCATCTTCACATCTGCTCATCTTCACATCTGCTCATCTTCACATCTTCTCTCACATCTTCTCTCACATCTCCTCTCACATCTTCTCTCACATCTGCGCATCTTCACATCTGCTCATCTTCACATCTCCTCTCACATCTCCTCTCACATCTTCTCTCACATCTGCTCATCTTCACATCTGCTCATCTTCACATCTTCTCTCACATCTGCCCATCTTCACATCTGCTCATCTTCACATCTGCTCATCTTCACACCTTCTCTCACATCTTCTCACCTTCACATCTTCTCTCCTTTCTCTCTCCTTTTTCTCTCTCTCGCCTTCTTTATCTTTCTCTCTTTAGGCCCAGGGTGGTGCCGGCGGAGAGTCACGAAACGTCAACCCTTTCGCACGAAATGAGGGTCGATCGTCAAAAACTGAAGAAAAATTGCGGTTTTACTTGTGCTAAAGCAACCCTTTCGCACGAAATGAGGGTCGATCGGCAAAAACTGACGTAAAAGTGCGATTTTACTTGTGCCGGAGCAACCCTTTCGCACGAAATGAGGGTCGATCGGCAAAAACTGAGGTAAAAGTGCGATTTTACTTGTGCTAAAGCAACCCTTTCGCACGAAATGAGGGTCGATCGGCAAAAACTGACGTAAAATTGCGATTTTACTTGTGCCGGAGCAACCCTTTCGCACTAAATGAGGGCCGATCGGCAAAAACTGAGGTAAAAGTGCGATTTGACTTGTCCCGGAGCAACCCTTTCGCACGCAATGAGGGTCGATCGGCAAAAACTGAGGTAAAAGTGCGATTTTACTTGTGCCGGAGCAACCCTTTCGCACGAAATGAGGGTCGATCGGCAAAAACTGAGGTAAAAGTGCGATTTTAGTTGTCCCGGAGCAACCCTTTCGCACAAAACGAGGGTCGATCGGCAAAAACTGAGGTAAAATTGCGATTTTACTTGTGTGTAAAAGCTTCTGTGTGTAAAAGCATCTGTGTGTAAAAGCGTCTGTGTGTAAAAGCGTCTGTGTGTCAAAGCGTCTGTGTGTAAAAGCGTCTGTGTGTAAAAGCGTCTGTGTGTAACAGCTTCTTTGTGTAAAAGTGTCTGTGTGTAAAAGTGTCTGTGTGTAAAAGGGTCTGTGTGTAAAAGCGTTTGTGAGTAAAAGCGTCTTTGTGTAAAATCGTCTGTGTGTAAAAGCGTCTGTGTGTAAAAGCGTCTGTGTGTAAAAGCGTCTGTGTGTAAAAGCGTCTGTGTGTAAAAGTCTCTGCGGGTAAAAGCCTCTGTGTGTAAAAGTCTCTGTGTGTGAAAGAGCCTGTGTGTAAAAAGCGTCTGTGTGTAAAAGCGTCTGTGTGTGTGTGTAAAAGCGTCTGTGTGTAAAAGCGTCTGTGTGTAAAAGCGTCTGTGTGTAAAAGCGTCTGTGTGTAAAAATGTTTGTGTGTAAAAGCGTCTGTGTGTAAAAGTGTCTGTGTGTAAAAGCCTCTGTGTGTAAAAGTCCCTGTGTGTAAAAGAGCCTGTGTGTAAAATGCGTCTGTGTGTAAAAGCGTCTGTGTGTAAAAGAGCCTATGTGTAAAAAGCGTCTGTGTGTAAAAGCGTCCGTGTGTAAAAGCGTCTGTGTGTAAAAGGGTCTGTGTGTAAAAGCGTCTGTGTGTAAAAGCGTCTGTGTGTAAAAGCGCCTGCGTGTAAAAAGCGTCTGTGTGTAAAAGCGTCTGTGTGTAAAAGTGTCTGTGTGTAAAAGAGCCTGTGTGTAAAAAGCGTTTCTCCTTACTAACAACAGAAGACTCTGCTCCTCTACGCTCTCGGGCCATCCGTCGTCTAGTTTTTTGTGTGTAAAAGATGTTCCGGGTAAAATTTTTGCGTCTACACGTTTTGGTGTGTATTTTTTTTTGCGCAATCTGTTCGGACAATTTTTCTGTGTCAATGTTTTTTGGTGTAATTTTTTTTGTGTAAAAATTGTTCTCTGCAAAGGTTTTTCTGTGTAAAAGGTTCTGTGTGTAAACGCGTTTGTGTGCCTTTATTTATGCGTGCAAAAACATCTTTGTGCAAAGCATCGGTGTGTATTTTTTTTGTGTGTAACAACGTTTTTGCGTAAAAACCTCTGTGTGCGAACGTCTGCGTGTACAAGTTTATCTGTGCACAAACCTCGCTGTGTAAGAGTATCTGCGCATAATTGTTGTGCTATGTACAGGTTTCTGTGCGTAACGTCGTCTGCTTGTAGAAGCGTATCGGTGCAAAATGCGTCACCACAGCCAAATCGCAAAAAACTATGAAACAAAAGAATCCAACTTCAAATGTGTGCTGTCGTTACGTTGTTGATGATGGTGGTGATGCGCGCAGGGCCCCACAAGGCGTCATTTTGGTTGTGTTACAGTAAGCCAATTCTAAAAAACCCTTGGGACCAAAATCTCGCAAAAAAAACATGTTTTTGGCGCCTCACAGGCCAAAACCCACGGCCATGTTAATGTTAATGTTATTGTTGTTGCTGTTGCTGTTGCTGTTGCTGTTGCTGTTGCTGTTGCTGCTGTTGCTGTTGCTGTTGTTGCTGTTGCTGTTGCTGTTGCTGTTGTTGTTGTTGTTGTCGCTGTCGTTGTCGTTGTCGTTGTTGTTGTTGTTGTTGTTGCTGTTGTTTGTTGTTTGTTGTTTGTTGTTTGTTGTTTGTTGTTTGTTGTGTGGTTGTTTGATGTTTGTTGTTTGTTGTTTGTTGTTTGTTGTGTGGTTGTTTGATGTTTGTTGGTGGTTGTTTGTTGTTTGTTGTTTGTTGTTTGTTGGTTGCTGGTTGCTGGTTGCTGATTGTTGGTTGTTGGTTGTTTCTTTCTTTCTTTCTTTTTTTCTTTCTTTCTTGGTTGCTTGGTTGGTTGCTTGGTTGGTTGGTTGGTTGGTTGGTTGGTTGGTTGGTTGTTGCTGTTGCTGCCGCTGTTGCTGGTGCTGCTGGTGCTGGTGCTGCTGGTGCTGGTGCTTGCAATGAGGTCTCAAGGGTATGGAGAATTGCAGCAAAACAAGAAACTTATCGGATGAAACAAAGTTAGAGGCAAGTCTGGAGGATCCAGCAGCATCTCAATGCAGCACGGCGTTCTTCCCGCCTGTCCACCTCAAACTGACTTGAATGGCAGTTGCACCTCTGCAAGAGCTGCATGTAAAAGTTGACTCCATGCAGTCTCTTCACCACTTCTCGGTTCTGCTTCACTGTCAAAGAGCTGAGGCTCCCAACCTTCGACACAGTTGATTGGCTCTAAACTCAGCCATACTGCACGTGGAAAACAAGGTGTAAAAACCCACTCAATCACAAGACGGGCCGCAACGCCGAGAGAAAGTCGACCTTGTCCCATCAGACCTTGTCCCACCTGACCTTGTCCGAACAGACCTTGTCCATGCAAGCCTTGACCTGGCAATCCCTGACATGCATTGCAGCTTCCACATCCATGACCTTAACCTCCAAGATGACCCTGACCATAGTTTCGAGGGTCCATTGAACCACCTCTCATCGGTCCATAAGATCCAAAAACGTTCTGTGCGGGAGGAGAATGTGAGTACCACTAACAACTGAGCTTCCGGCAGCAACTAGGTTCTGAGCTGGTGTCTGCATTGCTGTTCCCATTCCTACTGCTGCTTGTTGCGCATTCGCTTGCATCGCAGTACCTGGGTGAATTACCTGCAGCACCTGTGTTTCGTTCTGCTCCTGGTTCTCCTCCACCTTCCATCCTATTCATGATGGGCGATCCTGAGCCTAATTCATTCCTAGCGCACTAGTCTGGTTCTTGGTCCTTGTCCCTGGCTACGTCCTGGCAACATCGCATCTAGTTACACACGCGTGGAGCACAACCGCTCCGCTACCATGCGAAATTCCAAACAGACCTAATTACAACTGCTGGTCGCTCGCACACGTAACCCTGGGGTCGGCCTCCGCCACGTTCATGCAGAAACGTAGCACATGTTCACCGTATCAACGGGAGTTTACACTTCCATAGTGAAAGAGATCGTCCACGATCTGAGACACCAGTTGAGCGCAACACTCGAACACGTACCGAATCTCGGTCAAGTTGGAACAGCAGAACTCGACCAGCCGGTTCCTGAACCGCCAGCGCCTTGATCCCGCATGTCGGATTCGCAATAGCTTGACCAAGGTCATCAAGAAACACCTCAAGCTCAACATCATACCGAAATCCCGGTTATTCATGTCATCCACCATAGAACCAATCCACAAACACATAATGTGGAATTCGGTCCTGGATAGCTGTCCTGTGCCAACGGTCGGTTCAGAAATATAATGGTGAATGGTTCGATTTTCTTCCGCAGACGCCAGACCAATCAATCTTTTTCCCTAGCCAGTCAGCATCGGCCCCCATGCAAAAGAACCGCTTGTTTGCTTATCTTGAGAGTGAGTTGTGGCCAACATGCAAGCCAGACAAGTTCGTTTATTTTCATGATTGTTGATTTGTGTAAACAAGAGGTTTACCATTTGTACAGTCTTGAAGTGCTTGGTCACTTATTTTCCATTTGCGTTGGAAATTTTAACTTCAACATGTTTTTGTTGCGAATGGTCAGTTATGTACCTTTGGTGAGTTCCGGATTCTACTTCGTGTAGCTGTGGGGCTGAGAAATTTTCAGTTACCCACCCTCTGCCACCCCTTTTTTCTTTCGTTCTTTTTATAGAACCTTTTCGCCACTTAGCTGGGGGTGCGGGGGCCGGATCTCCAGCAGAACAAATTTCTTTCTGGCTTGTGGATTTTGACATCCAATTTCAGACAACGCGTTTCATTTGATTTGGACTTTTACGTCCTGGATCTTGGCGTGGCACTCATCCATCGCAGCAAAAAGGAAGCAACTCTTGTCCGAGTGTATTGCCGTTGAGATTTGATTTTCACGATTGCATTTTTTCCGGACGACGTTTTATTTCACGTTTCGGCGTTTGCGATGTTTGGGTTCCTCGTTTGTGTTTTCTGTTGTTCCGGCAAGGTTTGATGAAAAGGGCAAATGTAGATGGTGTAAAATCAATATGTGGGTGATGCGCAGGATGTAAGGGATGTGGATGATGTATGTTATGTAGATGAAATCTGTAGAAAAAATGATTTTGGAACATTTTTTTTGAAAAAACATTTGCAGGAACTTTTGGAAAAAACCGTGTTTCCACCCATATTTTTATCGGTGGGCAATTTTGGACTTGGACGCTAGGTTGTGCATTGGAAAAAAAAGGGTTGCATTGTTTGCATTTTTAAATCATCCATCTAAATAGATTCGTGTCAGATTTTCCGTTGTCATAGACTTTGTTGCAGCACCACATACTTACATTCAAATTTGTCATGAAGAGGTTTTGTGCAACATTCAGCATCAGGCGATTGATTGTACGAACCCAGAGGCCCAAAATGTATTTCCATTGCAAATAGTAGTGTTAATTTAATTTGTCGTTGCATAAACATCACAATTCAGTTGTTGAAACCAATCTTGACATACACACGCAACCATTTTAGCAAATTGTCAATAGCAATCACGGAACAAATAGGAAACCGCTTGCCGTATCTTGCGGCAAAGTACAGCGGGGTTTCAGTCATTATTGTATGGAAACACCAATATAGAAACATATGCAAATACCTAACAAATTGACGCATAGTAGAAATGTGCAAACAATTTTTGAGATAACATGTGAAAATGAAGATGAATTTCAGTTGTATGTTTTGAAAACTAAAATCCATAAGGACCGTGTTTTCCAAATTCAGGTAAAATTGAACATGAACTCTTCAATGGCACAAACATTGAAGGGAATTGGTTTCGATTTTTTTTGACAATTCAGGGGCGAACATCGTTGTTGAATTTGTAACGGAACAAAAGGCTGACAGTGACACATCGAACGAGGTGAAAAGTGGCTGGCGAAAAAACGTTCTATTGGTTACACAAACCCGTTTGTGCAGTTTCGTGCTCAATGAGTCATTGCAACATCAATGATGATCAACATGGGTAACAGTTTGAATCAACCATTTCCAACCTTGCCATGTTGCAGTGTCGAAAGAATCCTGCAAAGTGTAATCAACTGATTTTTTTCTGTAAAACACGCCAACAACACATTTGGTTGTTTGGCGTGTTTCGTTTCAATTCACATATTCAGATTCCGTGTGCAGACTTGAGTTCATAAACCAGCGCCTTGATGCCGCTTGCAAACTTCAATGCCAGGAACTTGGTTTCAATGCTTCGTTTTTGCTAGCGACTGCCAACATTTGCTGTACACTAAGGCATGCACTTGGCATGGAGTCAGCTCTGCAGAACCCGGTATTGCCAAACATGGTGACCCCACATTTGTCCGAATCAGTTTGGTGTATTGTTGACAGAATCAAAAAATTGTTAGCAAATCAATAAATTGTCAGGGACAATTTACTGCATGCGCAAAACTATGTAGACATTGAAATAAAAATCATTTGCACACACAAACTGCAGTTGGGAGTGAAAAACCGTGAAAAAAATGCATGTTTGAACGAATTTGCAAAACCAAATACACTTTTGTTGTGTCTGGCTGCTTAGTCTTGCAGAGCTGGAAGGAATACGTGCAAACAGGACAGTGCACAGAACCAATCAGCCATCGGCATGTCGATGCTTTTGCCAGTACAGTTACTGAAACAACAGTTTCTGCAATGAATGCTTTGTACGAGTCGGATGAATATGATTTCTTTTGATAATTTTGGGAACCATATAAAACTGCACCGTTTTTTTTTTGGACAGCAATATTGAGTCATTTACTGGTGCTGGTTTCTCTAACCGGCCGGTTTGCCAGCCATGGAGTTGCGTTCAACTGTAGCTCCTATGATGAGCCCGCGTCATCGATGCCAAACAAAAAAAACCACGGAATTGGGATGGCCAGACATCGCATCAGCTTTTCTGATTTTTCTCAGTGTGTTCATCACACTGCTTGAAACCTGTTACATTTCTCACACTGATTTGCGTATATTTGCTAATTACGCTCAGGCTGCGTTTGCAGCTTGTTTCTGCACTCAGCAGGGATACAATTTGTATACTTTTGTCTCTGAGCAAGAGACTTCTGTTGCTGAAAGCGTGGAGGCCTTCTTCACACGTGGCAAAGATGCGTTTTGGCACGTGTTTGATGCCGTGTTGAACATTGTCAGCATTTTGGATATCTTCGTGGATACTTGGGAGGGAAGATTTGTGCACGGGCTTGCAGCTATGCGAGTTGTCCGTGCTTTCCGACTTTTCCGCATTTTTGCATCAAACAAGTTCCTGAATGACTTCAGCAGGGTCATGCACACTGCCTTGCTGCAGATGCTGAATTTTTGCCTGGTGATAGTGCTTTCATTGACGTTGGCAAGTGTGGTAGCCACCAACATGTTGTGGGACTTCCCCAATGAGCAGGTAGCTGACAGCTATGCAGATCTTGGCACCACGATGTGGACGCTTTTCAAAATCATGACAATGGATGGCTGGACGACCAAAATCCAACCATGTTTGGAACTTCACCCATCTTTGCTGTATTTCTTTGCCCTGTTTGTGTTTTTTTCCTTGTCATCAATCTCAATTGTACCAGCCATTTTTATCGAACTTCTTATTGAAGAAAGGGACAAGAGGAAACTGGAGAAACGGCGGAAAAGAAAAAAGAGAAGACGTGCAATGCAACGCGCTATCAGCATGCGAGAAATCGCAGACCACGACTCCTCCGATTCATCCTGCCATTCAAGCTCCGAGTCTTCAGTGTCTGGACATTGGGGCCCAATGGGGCGAGGCTCACTTTTCACTGGCCATGGGCATCCAGGTCAGAACGAACTTTGGTTTGCTATCAATGGTGTGCTTCTTGAATGGCAAAAAGGACATGTGGCTGAAACATCCTGGAGCGTTGACCAGGACAACCATCAGTACAATCCATTGCCTTCCTTCGGCGAAGAATTTCATGAGCTGCGAGAGCGGCCAGAGGTCAGCAAAATGAGCACTATCAGCGGTATCAGCGATCTTCAAAAGGACATACAATTGATGCAACGACACCTAATTGAAAAGATGGAGCAGCTTGAAAATGAATTGATTCAACGACTGGAAAGGCAATTTCCAAAACCTTCCAGCTCATTGCTACATTTCACTGAACGAGCTCAGCCTGAAAGACCAGCCAGTTCGGTTCCAAGGGTGGATTTTACAAGCAGAGAAACCAGCATGGACTCGTTTCCAGATCCCATGTTCTGGAGAGAAACTAGTATGGACCATGTTGAAGGCAATCAGACAGAGTCAAAGGACTGGCAGGAAGTAAAATCCGTACAAAATGGGGAGAAGACTGACACTGCCGGACCTGCTGGACTGGACTTTCCGGCTTCCAGTTCTTGGTATAATGATCATGTCCAACACGAAGATCACCAAGGGGAAGCCCGTGAAGGAGGTCTTGAAGGCGAAGTGCTGGAGAATTCTGATTTGGATCAGAAGGAGAAGTGTCCCAAAGATCAGAATGACATGGAGAACGTGGAGAACGTGGAGAATGTGGAGAACGTGGAGGACATGGAGAACATGGAGAACTTTGAAGCAGAAGCAGGAGATGAACAAAGGAGGGAACCGTCGCTAGAACAGGTAGTCTGCGAAGATGAAGCACCAGTGCAGGTTCTTGTGCATCCTTCCCCAGACACAGGTGAGTGAAACCAGATTGATTTGAAGTAAAGGACTGGCACCTTGATTCAAGGCAAAGTCTCCTTGGACTCTTGCGTGACACAAAGTCCTGAATTGCGAAGCCAAGAAGTGTTTTCAAAAAATATTGGACCTGAGGTGTTTTTTCAAAATCATGAAGTTATCTCATATCAATCTATCAGGATGTTGGCATGTGGTCAATGCTGGCTACTGAATTACTTTAGTCAGAAATAGAAAATATCCAAGAAGTCCAACAAAACCATTCGTGCTCATTAATTAGCAAAAAACAATTTGTGCGTGTGCGTGTGCAAGGGGACAAACTTACATCCTGCCAGGCACCGATGCTGCCCGATCCTTTCCGGTTGACAACTGTGCCGAGGATCCAGCGGCTTTCCCTTTTGATTCTTTCTTGGCAGCAGTCCATAGCTTTTCATGACACATGTCAGTGAATGTTCAAGTGCCAAGACTGCTGCAAGACTCGCAACCAGTCATCTTTCTCGTTTTTCAAGCTTGAAAAAACGAGGCCACTTCAGAGATAATACAACCTTTGTCCACCCATCTTGTACCCACCTTAGTTTCTTGCCCCATACAGGACTCTGAAACCTGGAGAACCGAGGCCTGTGCTTGGTACTCAGATCAAATGCTGAAATGATGAATGATGCAAAGCATAGACTGATGGAACAGAGACTCCAGAACCTGTTACAATATGTTACAACAAAGGCCTACGCAAGAAGCGCGTCACCTGATCGAGGTTGGAAGCTGGATCAGCTGGATGTGTTGATTTTTTGATTACACTGCACTCTTGGCATTTCGCCTTGTATCTTCAAGATGCAAGAGGCATACCAACGGCTGTCTGCTGCTCAGAAGTCATTGTCATGAAATTTTCTCAAAGGCGATCCAAGATGTGCGAATTGAGTACCCCAAGGATGCTGTGATATCGCATGATATTGAGATTATTAATGTTTCCCACTCAATCCGAATGTCAGTTCTTCAAATATGACCTAGGCTTGAGGAGCTGCTCCCTGCCCAAGAAGCGATTGAGGCGGACCAGGCCAGGAACGCCCAAGGTCAAATGAGTCAAATGGTGAAACCCTCCAAAAACCAGGGACAAGATGGGACAAGTGCCATCGAGTGCCATGCAGGAGCGGATGGCTTGGGGTCTTGCGCAGGCACCTTCGAGTTTCAGTCTGAACTTTACACCCACATGGCCGCTATGGCCGAGCAAATTATTGCTCAACCGGCATCCTGCAGGCAAAACAAGCTCGTCCACCAGATGCCTCCTTGGACATGCAGGTGTGATTTCATGGCCAATTCATTGCTTGGCGAAATCCAGTGGTCTTGGTTCTTGCAGAAGCTGAGCAAGACTATGCAAAAGACTCCAGATTGCAGTAAGGTATGGCGCTTTCACTGAACAGAAACGCATCACACAAAAGAGCATCAAGATGAAAAAGGCCACAGAAACACCATGCTTCCATGAAAAGCAACACATCTGTATTTCTACTTCTCTTCAATCACCTAGCGGCATACTTGGTTTCACGTGCTTTGACGCCAAACACTTGTCAATTTGATTCAATTTGCACTTGATGAACCTAATGGAACCACGAAGTAAATGCAGCACTGCACAGTGACATGCAGCCATGCACCGTGCACATTGGATCCATCTCTGAGCTACTACCTGCTGGAGCTGGGGCCTTGTCTTGTTTTCTTGAATACAATAGAGCCAATAGAAAACACACTGTTCATGTAAGTTTCCAAAACAGAGAGCGTTTTCAGAATATGCTTCTTTTTGCTTTGGAAACACACTTGCATGCGATTTTCTATGTGCTTGTTCCGACTTGTTCCTTGCACTGTCAGCAGGTCAGAGTCCAATGTCATCCCAAACCACACGCTGTGCAGAAAGAAGCGCCTCTTGCGCTCGCTGGCCTAGTTGGGGGACCCAAGAACTTGGCAAAACCACAGGAGTCATCCACAGAGTCACCCAATTTGGCAAGTTCTTTAAGGTCTCTAAGGAATCTAAGGACTCTAAGGTCTCTGGACACCCGATGGAAGTTGTTTGTTGCTTGGTTGCCCATTGCCCTTTGGAGGTCGGCTGCAATGCCTTTGCGAAGTTCAAGATACGCCGGGTGGAACAGTCTGTGCAGCGGCGATTTGGCGCAGCAGGCTGTTGGCAGAACATGCGTTTGGTGCTGCTCCCTGTGCAAAGTGTCTTGCGATCAGGGGCAGCATATTCCACCAAGCAATCGGCGATAGCCTATGACGAGGCGCTCAAAATGTGTTGATATAGGCTATGACCGGCGAAAAATCACGACCTGCCTCACTGCGAATCGTTTACGGCTGGAGGAAAGTCAGTGCCTTCGCGCCATGCTTAACTTGTCAGCTGGAGAGGCTTGCTTTGGGTTAGCTTTGGGGTTGAGATGTACGGAGCCAGTTTCGTAGTTCTGCAGAGGGAGATTTAATGCAGGTTCTTCTCGAAGAGAGCCCGTTGGTCCTCCTGGAGGACTTGCTGAATTCTGCGTTGGTGGAAACCATCAGTTGATGCTGAAGAATTCCAGGACTCTGCAGAGGGAGTTGATGATTTGGGCTCAGAGGAGGACATTCTCCGAGTGCCACAGATGCTTTTGCTTGGCTTGACACAAGATACGAGGGACTGGATCTTCCGTGCTGAAGCACCGTGAGGACCTATGGCGTGGGTTCAGACGACATCGCTGCTTCAAGGCTTCTGATTTAATTCCAGTGTTTCATCTGTGTCGCAGATGCTTCCGTTTACACCACTACTCCTACTTGTGTTGAGCTGAGGCAGCTGACACTTTCAAGCTGCTAGATGCAGATGCCAGGATGGCCCTTCGGCCAAACACACAAATCATCACAGGTATTTGGCACGACACAGTACACGACACAGCATGACTCAGTATGATCTGATGTACTGTGAACCTCACTGCTAGGACAGCAGTTCTATCACTTTACACCCCAGCATCTGAGAACCAGCTCCAGGAGCCTTGCAAAATTTGGCTTGCTTCAGCTGTGCAACACAGCTGGCTCGTCCACATTGCTCGTCCCCATTTTACATCATTTTACTGTCGCCACAGGACTGGTCTGTAGAACAGGAAGCAGCTGGAGGCGACCCAGAGGTACTACGGTTTCTTCAAGCGCGAAGCTCACAAAGAAATCAAAGAACTTACATTGACTTAGATTCTTTCTGACAAGTCCCTTGATGGTTACCAGGCCAAATTCCTTCTTGTGGTCTTGTGTTCACTTGCTGGGTGTGAAAGCACTGTCCTGGCATGGATGCACATTCATCAGGTGTTACATATGCCGATTGGACGGCTCGAAGGCCTAAGCCATTTGCGCTGCGTGTGGAAAGATTGCAATGGCGTGAGCATCGTTTGATCGTTGCTGCAGCTTTGCATTCTACAGTGGTACTCGGAGCTGGTTGCGATTGCAGAGCCTTAGCATTGCACTATTCTTTGAGCCCCTTGCTGGCATTTTGGTGTGCCTCGACTGCGTGCCTGCGGCATTCAATTGGGATAACTGATTTGCTGGTGTTTCACAATTTTTGGTTGGCCCATATCCCCTAGTAGTCCACCTAATGGCTGAAGATGACAAGGGATATGGACCTTGGAGCAGGGTTCCGGTTTGGGATGGTTCGCCATTGACGTGGCGACGTTTCAGAAGGGATGTTACCTGGTGGCTGAGCAGTCTGGACCTTTCGAAGACGACTGGATATAACCTGGCAGCTAGGTTCCTTCTGAGGCAGGATGGCATTGCTCGTCAGAGAGGTGAAGAATTTTTGCCAGAAGAGCTTGCATATGTTCCACCGGCGAAGTTGGTGGACCCCGACAATGGAGAGGAAATGGATGATCCAGATGCGGTGCCTGACTATTTAGTGGGCGTCAACAAGCTGATGAGAGCCTGGGAGGAAATGAACGGGCGAACCGCCCTAGACAAAAGGGGCGAATTGCGCCAGGCCTGTTACATGGACCTGACTCGGAAAGCTGGAGAACGAGTGAGTGAGTTTTGCACTCGCTATAGATCCCTGGTAGCTGACCTGAAGGGCGAAGGCGTTTTGATTGGAGATGCTGAGTTGGGGTGGTGGCTGAGACAGAAGATGGGGCTGGACCCATTGCGAAAGCAGCTTTTGGATACAGCACTTCAAGGAAGTGAGGACTATGGCACCATTGAAGCAGAGATCTTGAGGTTGTTTCGAGATCTCCATGACAATGACCCCTTGTATCGCAGGATGGAGAACCGACAGCCTTTGACCATCCGGCGAATGTTTGGTGCACGTTCCTCTCCCTCTACGTCCTCGGCTCCATCGACCTTCTCTCGGATGACCTCAGCGTCCTCCATGAATAGACCTTCCTCCTTGAAGTCCTCTTCTCACCCTCGTCAAGCCAATGTGACTGAGAATGTTGACGAAGATGTGGATGCAGACGCCGAAGTTCCGGCGGGTGAGTCGCCTGATGGACATGATGATGCAGGTGGCCAGACGCTAGAGGAAATCCTGCAGACCGAGGCTGAAGTGTTGGCAGCCGAACTCCATGAAGCTGAGCAAGAAGGAGTGGATCCTCAAGTCTTAGACAGCTTGGAAAGTGGCATAGAGCAGGCGGCAGAGACCCTGGTGACCATGCGTGAAGCCAGGCAACAGCTGCAATCTGTGCGGAAGGATCGTGGATATGGCAAGTCTGATGGATCCAGCTTCAAGCATAGCGGAAGTTCTCAAGCAGCTAGCCGAAAGGCCTCAGGAAAATTTCCTTGCTATGACTGCGGAGAGAGCGGTCACTGGGGAGGGGACTCCATTTGCAAGAAGCCTGGTCAAGGCCTTGGTCGAAAGAAACCTGAGAGTTCCAAGAAGCCGATGCGACAGGTTCGTGTTGCCGAACATGATGGCAGTTCGAGCCCACATGCTGCGCCGAATGTTCATGGTGCCAATGTGGTGGAGCATGCGCTCCCAGCCCACGATGTGCTTGTGACTGAAGCGTTGCTGAGTGGAAAGACTGCTATGTGCAGGCCGGTGCATGGATCTGAAGCTCTCAACTTGGAGCAAGCCCTCACCCAATCTGTTTCTCAGGGTATTCCCACGGCCAAAGCTTCTGATGTTCTTCCCCCAGACAAAGAATTGGTAGGAGCACTGGATTCAGCATGTAATAGAACGTGTGCGGGACCTGATTGGTTGCGAGGGTATTTATTGAAACTGCAGCAAGCCCCCAATCACATCAAGGACCTTGTGCAGATGCATGCAGAGTCAGAGAATTTTCGTTTTGGAAACAATGGTGTTGTGCCTTCTCTTCAGCGATGGCGTCTTCCAGCTCTCATAGGGGAAACTTTGATTTTGGTTTGGATTTCTATGGTTCCAGTGAGCACTTTGGGATGTTTAATTGGACGAGATCTACTAGAATCTATTGGGGCTGTTTTGGACTTCCACAAGCGCACTCTCACTTGCAACCACATCGCTTCTGGTGTCTTGCAGCTGCGTCAAATGGTGGCAGGTCATTTTCTCCTCGAATTGCTGCCGAGCGGGGATGCCTGCTGGAGTGCGCCAGCCCAGGAACCGGGAAAGTGGCGAAAATGTGGTCAAGATGGTGTTGTTGAACTTTGGATGTCTAGGCTACAGTGGGTTCAATATCAACTTCATCGCAAACCTTTTCTGAAGTTCAAAGAGACAGAGCATTTGCTAGTGGAGTCAAGTTTGCAAGCATGTCATTTTGTTTTGGATGTGAGTCCTGCAGAGTTGCCGTGCACTTCTCAACCTTCATCATTGAATTTGACTTCGGCTCGAGTTCCTTTGAAGAAGCGGCGATTGCGACGCGCTCGAACCCATGCAAGTCGTCGACAGTCCCTCGACCTTGGTGTTGGGACGATGGCAGCGGCTGGTGAGTCGCATGGTGCATCGCCGCGCATGGCACGACAACGGGCTCCTGCTTTGGGTCTTACAAAGGCCTTACTTGCGGTTCTTGCCCTGTCCCTATCCCAATGTTGCCAACTGCAAGGGCTGGGCATTGCAAGTCGAATCTATGCAGAATCAGAAGACTTGGCCTGCTGCTCACCTGCGAAGGGCACTGAGGAAGATGGATGCTTCAGTTCTTTCGGAATGCCTGTGGCTTCGCGATCGAATTGGCTTTCGCTTGGCCTTCCTGGAGGATCCTATGATTGGCAACATCTTGATGATCCAAGGCTTTCGTGGTCAGAAGTCAGCAATACACCGCGAAGCCATGAAACACACCCAGGAGATGGCGGAGAAACAGCGGAAGTCAGGCAAGGAGACGGAGCACACCAAGGACTTGATTGGTCCCAGAGGTGGATTACCCACCTTGAAGAAGGACTTGGTGGCCCTGGCAACGCTGCTGCACTTGCCAGTGGGAGAGAAGGACACGGTGGATATCCTCAAAGACAAGATCCGTGGCCCCCTGGCGACAGTGGTTGGAAGTTTGAAGGACCGCGACAAGCGTTCCAGAGCCTCCCAAGATGCTTCCAAGGAAGAGTCCATGAAGCCTGTGTCACCACCACTGGTGAAGGCGAAGGCGCCGTGTCCACAACCAAGCCATGCTTCAGCACCTTCCGAAGCAGTTGGCGCCACCGAGATTGCAGCCTTGGAAGCACGACTTCATCAAAGCATCGAACGCCAAGACCAACGCGTTCAAGAGATGCTGAAGCAGCTGGTGGATTTGATGCAGCTGAATCCTCTAGCCCTCCAGGGCATGCCGGCCAATTGGACTTTGGGCCCCATGCCAGCAACTCCAGACTTCCAGATGGAGGACGAGGATGCCATCGATCAGACAGCCCGCGAGATGGGAGTCACCAGAGAAGAAGTCCTTCAGCTGAATGCCGAGCACATGGTGGAATTGGCGGAGGAACAGTTGAAGGGTGGCCCCAGCGAGCGTTGAGCAGTCAGCAGCCCGATGAACAAGATGTCGGACAGTTGCGGGGCAGCATCAAACTGGGCATCAAGCAAATGATTTCTCAGGCTTGGGATCGGCACTGTCGTGACCGTGTTGCAGTGTCCAAGAATCGATTTGAAGTCTATGAGGTGATGACGGCTCTCTATGACCAGGAACTCCGAGATCATATGAATGAAACCTTTGTCTTGGAGGTGGATTTTCCTGGACCCTTCATCACCGAGGTGTACACTGACACCGAGCCTGTTGCCCGAGAAGCCCGCAAAAGAGGACTCCGTGCTGGAGAAAGCCTGACCTTGTCGACAGGGTGGAATTTCCTGTTGGAGGAGCATCGAACTGCTGCAAAGAACTTGATCAGGCGCCTCAAACCCTATGCTCTTGTTCTAGCCTTTCCTTGTGGGCCATGGAGTTTGCTGATGAATCTCAACAGCCTCACGGACGTTGAGAGTTTGCGCAAAGAGGCCAAAGTTCTGGTGACGTTTGCAGTGGAATTGTGCAAATTGCAACTGGCAGCTGGCAGGCATTTTGTCCTGGAGAATCCACTGACCTCTGCAGCTTGGACTTTGCAAGAGGTTTTGGACTTGGTGGATCGCCCAGATGTTTTCTCCGTGGTGATAGACCAGTGCGTTTTTGGACTTATGAACGCATCTGGTGAGCTCCATCGCAAGGCCACGAAGCTGGTCACATCTTCCCAAGCCTTGGTCAGTCTGATGCAAGGTCACCGCTGCGATGGATCACATCACCATGCCCCCATCATTGGTGGCAGCAAGGTGTCTCGCCCAGCTGGCCATTATCCGCCTGCCTTGGCATCAGCTCTGGTTCAATCTTTTCAGAACCAGTTTGACTTTGAATCCAAGAACCTCAACTGTGAGCATGATGCATTGGCGGCTGAGCTTCCTGACGCAGAGACGTCAGATGATGAAGAGTTGGTGCCCGTCACCGACCAGCCTGAGGCTTTGAAGATTTCTCCTCAAGTGAAGCAGGCTGTTTTTCGCCTACATGAAAACACAGGGCATAGAGGTGGGCGGCGTCTGGCGAGAGCACTACTTGTTTGTGGAGCTCCTAAAGAAGCAGTTGTTGCAGCCCGCAACCTTAAGTGCTCAATCTGTGCAGAAAAGAGGGCTCCACGTGCTCGACGACCTGCGACATTGCCTCAGACCAGTCAGGTCGGTGCCAAAGCCCACATTGATTTGCTGATGTTGGAAGATGCTTTTAGACAAAACTATGTGGTGGTTCACATCACCGACAGTGTC